TAGAGCTGACGTTTCCGTTGAATTTCACATGGACTTGCTTTGCCAAAAGTTGTTCTCATTCCGGCTGGAGTGGACTGTAGTTTCGACCTCAGCTCGGTTTTATCAACATCCCCAGCAGGAGACAAACCGTGACCGTGCGGCATGTAAGCTTGACACGTTAACCACGAGTTCGACTCCTTCTAAGGCTGTTGATAAGATAGATGCGAGGTCGAGACGGTAGTGCATTTCAGCCCGGATGAAAAAAACTTTTGGGAAAGCAAGGCAATGTGAAATTCAATGGAAGCGTCAGCTCTACACTATTTATTGTGGGAAAATTTTAGTTCAAGTCTTTCAGATTTTAAACGAAATTGGGTGAATACATCTAATATTACTTTATCTTCCTCTTAAATAGACTCAATTTAACCAAAAGAGAATTAAAAACCTAGATAGATTTATATAGAGTGGTTGGGCTAATTAACTTTTTATATTGGTCCTGTTACTTTTGTTCTAGCGTGTGTGTGTGTGTGTGTGTATGTGTTTTGGCGTCTATACGCAATACAGAGTTGTCAAAAGGCTAATGTCATACTCTGATGATCAAGGACTGAGATTCCGTAAGTCCGCAAACAAGTATGGTTGAGATAATGAGCTAGGAGTATGTAAGCATGTAAGTCAAGTTACGAAACCATTTGTCCCAAACTCTCAGTCTAGGGTCATTAACGTTTAAACCCCCAAGGAAAGGCGTGATTGGGGTTGCATAATATGACATGTCTGGTTGGGTTGATGAGCTGAATCCAACATGCTGGACGAGTATGAGTGAAGTTAGAAGCTTCACTAAACAGACCAGTTGAATCGGCTTCTTGTAAATGCCATGATGCTTCCCAGTCTTAAGTCTGGGAATGTACCACGTGCACGGTCCTACTCTGGAAATGATGATGCATACAATGGACTCCGGACAAGGTGTGTTCCTCTAAGTCTTCCTAACAGTATGAACATGTTGCGAAAACACGGTCAAACAACTTCTGTGCAACGAAAGGAGACTGCAACCACACAAAAGGTCTTCATACCTTAAGTCTTTTTGCTGGATCTTCCAAAAGACGTGTCATTGTCATTTAAACAAACTAGCATTTTTTTCACAAGCGCATTGCCTTCATTTGTCACTTTGATCAGTTGTAACTGTGTGCTGCTGATGGCGTCTCTCACTGACGATGCCGACGAAGCGTTTGGGAAACGTCAACTCAACTCATATCATATCACAAACTATCCCGTCACCACCTTAAACGAAATAGGCTAAATACAACTCAGATGTGTCAGAAATTTCTCCCGCAACCCTAGTGACAAGTACGACCCTTAGCATCGTATTACATGTGACATCAACCCTCTTGACCCATCGTTATTTCAGCCATTTCTGTACCAGGCGCCTGGTGCTGTGCCTTTGTCCCTAAATCTCATTTCATACATATAGCTGAAAAATGGCTTATATAAAGTGGTATTGAGGAACGAGAATAAAGCTCTGGGAGCCTCGAACGAAGAGAAACGGTGAGATGCTAGAAATGGTGAACAGAAAATTGTTCAACAGGACTGACTTCACTTGTCACTTGGACTGGTTGTAATTAGGACTCTGAAGAGGTCAGGTCTGATGATAGGAATGACATTAATTATGAAGACGAAGAAAGCAGGACTGAGTGCATTCTACAAGACCACCCCGAAAAGTGGCAAAAATCAAAGCGTACAAGGTGTTATTAAATAATTACTCATATCTTCTAGTCTCACCTCGAATATATTATCTTTTGAAGGTATTAAGACCAAGATGGTGTGGCCTACACACCACACTACACCACACTACATTAAAAAATAAAAAATGGTGACATGAAAGTTGCAATAGTAGGATATACGAGATGTGAATAGGCCAGGGCAGAAGGAGACATAGCACAAATGTTTAGCACACGTTTGGTCAAAGGATCGGCTTCACTTGTCTCTTTGACGAGTTGTGTGTTGGTAAGAATGGTGAGACGTTT